GCTCTGTTAAAAATGGCATTTTTTCATTCGCCGATTGCATAACATAACCCCTTCCTTACAATAAATTTTCTACTTTGTGAGTAATAGGCTACATAAGTTTGAGTGCATTACTTCTTAAACTCATTCAACTCGCTAACTTTTAGTATAGCCAGTGCTTGACAAAGAAAATGATGGATGTGGGAAGTATACCATAACCTGTTAACTGTTGATTTCAAAAGCTAAAAGTACTGCCACTTGCATCTTATTTTGTTCAATATGAACTATTTCACATGAAATTTTGATGGCAAATCAAAAATTTATGAACTACAATTATAATTGTTCACTTTTTGCAGGAAATAATATTACAGGTCAGGGCGATTCGATAGAAAGTGGAGATTATAACCTATAACTAACATTTATATAACGACAAAACTTGTGTTTGTAATATTTTTTGTGGCGTAAAAACATCAGGTAATTCCATTAGAATGAAAGGAAATAAAGTATAAACCAACAAATCGATGTAGGACAGGCAGCCTTGACTGCTTCCAATGAAACGTGTTGATTCACGTCCTCATAATAATATTATATATGACCTCATAACATATTATGTTTCTGAAAACGAAATTCAGTGCAATCCCGTTCCCGCAGGTCAAAGTGTATTCGTCTTGAGACGCGTGGGAGAGGTTTTAGTTCCAGTGATTGCCGCATAATGCTTTTTTACATTGTAGAATGGCGCTAAATTTTCGCGGTTTTCTTTTGAACACGCAAAATGGCAGAGGTTTTAGTTTCAACTTCAGCCACTTCATTTACTTTTGTAAGGACTCTTCGGCGCTAATAATCGCGTCTCATAGCGAATACCTGATGTACAGCTGACGAAGCCAAGATCAACGGCAAGGAAAGGCGAGCCAGGACTTTCCCATGCTGGACTACTATTGTAGACATACACACACACGTACCCAAGCTCCCAAAGTCAAGCAAAGTATACCAACGAAGCAGCCTTCGACCATTTATACTCACGGTTTACCGAAGACTCGACGTCCAGTGCGGCTTTGAGTGACGACGCTTTCATGCTCCGGGGGGGGGGGAGAACAGTGCTTGACTACGTCGGCTGTATATGATATGGGTAACTGGATGGGTGCGCGTCTCACGGTCGGAGAGGTTATTGCTCTTTTTTTTCTCTCCACTGCGCTTTTTCGGAATTATTCTCATTCAAAACCTCAATTCGCTTTTGCGTTATTTTCATTCATGAGGAGTATGATAAAAAATCAAGTTCTCTTATTATTGGCAGCAGTTTTTTTTATCCACTGCCTTCTGCAAGTTGATGCAATGTTAACATTGTTGATGTTAAGTTGCACGAGGGCACTCGAAAGTCTTAAAGATTCACAGACAATGGCCCAAACGGCCAAAAGTCAAAGAACGAGCGAGTGGGGCAATTCATCCCCAACCCCTAGACACAAAAGGCGGAGAGAGAGAGAGAGAGAGAGAGTACACACCTGCCAAAGAGAGTCGGTGGTAGTAAAGAGCCCCACCCCAGTGCAGCCCTTTGTTAAGTCCTCGGCTGGTTTCCTGGAGTATAGGCATGTCTGACCGAACGCTGACCACCACCACTTGCTGGCTCCTCTTTGGAATACACAAAGCTACTCAGAGGCGCGTGCGTGTGTAAGCGTGTAATGAAATTTCTTCGGCCGAGTACGCGCAGATCTGTGTGTATGTGTGTGTACTTGTTTCATAGAAGTTAATTATTGATGTGCGTTTCTAAGAAGGGCTCGAGTATGGAATTACCTGGTGGAGTTGATTGAAGTACACTCGGAAAATGTCAACGCTCGTTCGTGTAAGTACTGTTTTCGTTGAATTCCGCTGGTGCTCTCGTTTACTGGAATCTCTCGTGCACGCGAGATTTAATTTTTATCGAGAATCCGTGTACTCGTGCGGATTTTGAAATTCATCGAAAGTGCAGCGGGAGCATTTTTGGTTGTTTTTGAATTTAGTTGGATCGAATGGAGAATTGAAATCGTTCGTGCGGGTCAGTTTTTTTCATGTATACATATTTGACGGACTAAGTGGAGGCTTTTTGTTCGTTATGGGATTTATAAAACAAACAATGTCATTCGTATTCTGGTTGTTCTTTCCATGTCATAAGTTGCAGGATAACTTTTTTCGTCTCAAATACCATTATTAAAAACATCTAAAGTAGTTTTATTAAATTCGTTTCAATTTTTTTTTTTAATCGTGAGATAAAAATTATGCATCTTCATGTGCATCATGGAAATGTTTTCATAAATAAAAATTTGACTACATTTATCTTTATTATTATTCTATTAGGGTAAGAAAACATATGACAGATGATATTTGTGTCTAAAAAACTTTCATGCAATGACCACTGCGATTAATTTTTAAAATATATCGTAAAAACTAATGCCCCTAGTATAATATACGTATGTATTAAATCTAAACAATATTGTGAAATGTATCCAGGAAAGTATATCAAAACGAGTTAAACGTGAGATTCTTCAATTAATTTCTGAGACAATGACGAATATCTTGTTTATTTATTTAATTTTGGGGAAAGACGTATTAGTGCAGTTATAGCTAAAGTTTTATATGTAACTCTATCTAGAGTTATGTTTGCAGTTGGATGAATATTGTTTCCTTCACGACAACGTGATATAAGAATAAAACTGTAAAATATTCAAAGTTTCTTAAAAACAGACAAAATTCTTCGAAGTAACCATAATCTCAAATAATTATACACAGGTACGCCAACTTAAGAATTACAAATTGAATCATATCCGATCAAAAGCATTTTCTCTCTAAAACTTCGGCTCGGAACAAGGGGTCCAAAACACCCATCGAAATTTGCACGTACACCACCTGCACACGAAACTCGGTTACCCGCAACGACGACTCTTCTCAACTGACTTTCCCTCCTCTCCAAAACAATGCGCACTTTGTCAGAAATACACGTACACAACGCGCACACGCACAATTTTGTTCCGCGAACGAACAACAACTCGTGTCAATTTCACCCCCTCACCCCCGGAAAGTTACTCTCAACCCTTTCCGCGAAAGCACCGTACTTGCGTTATACACGCGTTAACTGCGCGAACGACGAATTTTTACTTCCAAAGTCAGACGACGGGGTGGAAATTAGTTTCATTGACTCTCGAGAGCCAAGTCGGAGTCGCGTCTTTGTCACAATGGAGCCGAGACGGAACGGGGGAAAACGTCAAAGCCAGACGGAACACTGCCGCTGCTCGTTTGAGTCGCCTCGAAAAAATATACACCCGCCGTTCGTTAACGAACTCGAGATGCGTCTTCCTGTAGCTATCGAAGTTTCGTTCAAAGCGCGCTATTGCGCGACAAAGTCACCTTTTCTTTTTTCGGTGCCTCAACGGATATTTCAACGCATACTTTAGTCGAAAGAAGATGATAGCGAGTACGTATCGTTGATTAAAATTTTTAGTGTCCAAAAAAAAAAAAAAAAAAATTAACAGAAACAAATGTAGCTTCAATACAACGGGTTTTTGACTTATCCACGTATATAAAAAATATTGAATTGATTTGAAGTTATCATTTTTTTTTTGAATAAACTTTTTTTTTAGTGAGAAAAAAAGTAGTGATGGATTGAGAGCGGATCTCAAAATGGTTGTATTAACGTCCCGAAATAAAATATCTTCTGACAACCCTCTTACGTGTACACACCTACATGTTTCATTGATACTCATGGTTGTGCTCAACAGCTCGTTTGGAAGTTTTACACGTAATGATCGCAAAAAAAAAAAAAAAAAACAGTGTTCCTGGACGTGACATCTCCCCCTCTCCTGAAATTCAACAACGGGGGGCGAATATGACCGCAGAAATTTCAATCCCGACCAACCGTGAATCCACAGTAGCGGGTAACTTCCGAGAAATCGCACTGCACTACCAGCATCCCTTTGACGGCGTGCTTGCTCCATTAGCCGTGACGGCAAAGGGATTCGCCACGAAGATATTGCTCTTTGTGTGCGCGAATGCGGGCTTGGCATCGGCACGCCGGGCTGATTGAAATCGAGCTCAGGACCGGGGAGATGAGCGCCCCGTCACCCATACGGAGTGTATCGAAGAACCTCGTTAATAAGCCTGTGTGCTCTGCGGTCCCTGATGGTAATAAGCCGATGGGTGGCTGAATTGACCGATTAAGCGTGCGATTATACCATTAGTATTAAAAAAAATAAAAAAATTGGTAAAGGATTAAAGGGAAGTTGACACAATCGAGTGTACGCCCAACATACATTATCGCAATACCAACGACAGGGACGAGCAACGCACGCACTCCTTAATTAATTCACACAGGTCCCAAACGTCAATTGCCATCATCAAAACTAATTAATCAACATTCGATCGTGAATTCGTCGTGCCACTGTCAATCAATAATCGACAGGCTGGTGCGTATGCGCATGTTTTATTGAAAATGTCACGTGTTGGAGTACAACCGTTGCAATGCACACAAGAGTATATTGTCGTTGCTACCATTCCAAAAAGCAATGTGCTCTATGGTAATCAATATTCCACGGAGTGGGGCTTGATCTGCGTTTCCTGGCGTGGATGATAAAGGGAGTTTCTAACGAATACTCAGAATACAAATAATATATAAACAATTAACTGAAAAAAAGACTTGTAGTTTAGTTCTTGATGAATGAAAGTAGAATTTATTAAAAACGATGGTGACATCACGTATTTGATTAATTGATCGTACGTACACACAAATAATGAAATAATGTACTGACCAGCCAGTCTTTGAGTTAAAGGAGTTTTAGTAATGAAGTTTCAAAAATTCAGGTCATTCAAAGATTTTCTTTTGCTTATGTACATAATGAGAGAGATTTTACTTATTTTTTAGCGTATATTTTAATCAATCCCTAACAATTTTAATTATAAATTGATTAACACGTTTAGGTATTAACACTGTCATCCCTTATTGTGAATGTTACAGAGTGCATTTTCATAAATATTTTTGGAAAAATAAAAATAAGATGACTCACACAAATGGTAGAGAACCAGGTTGTTCTCGGTGCTGCCTTTGTACCTCTGAAAGGCCTGATTGGTCGGCGCGAAGACCGTGACGTGCCTGTGCATCAGTGTACTGTTTGCGATTGGATTGTTTTCCAACAGCTGGTAGAACTGCAAATGATAAAAAAATATACATGTTATTATTACACATTTTTACAGTGAGTGAAAAAAAGCGTGTCCGAACGATAATTGACTTATACTACTCGTTACTTGGTGTTTACAATGTTTGAATTTAAAAATAAACGCATACTGGACTTTTGAATGTTAACAAGTCTTATAGTTTAGTTTCTCATGTGGTATTAAGTATAAGTTTCTAAAAATTCACTGATAAACAATAGTTAACGAGACTTTTTCGATGATAAATCACGACAATGTCAAACAAGATAATTGACCAAGAGCTTTGTATCTAGAAACTCAATTGGCTTCCTTCAAACAACGTGGTATCAAAAAAGATGTTGTATCCTTAAAATGTGAAATTTAAACCGTAGGTTAAATAATTTTAGCCACTTATAAGAGATTAGAGGTTTCTCATTTTTCTTGGGTCACAAGTACAGTTAACATTGGCTAATAAAAGCTTATAAAATGTATTTTGTCGTCCCTAAATTATTGAATTCTTACAGTAAGAGTATAACTAAAAAATAATTTAGAAAAGCTTGCAACTACCGATCACAAAGTATTTTCTATGATTTTAATGCCTTTTTCAATATGCTTATTTTTATATTCAACTCTCCAAAACCAAGACAGGTAGTCAGACAAAATGCGTCTCTGTCCACGACAGGAAAAAAGAGCATCGTCTCTGTAACACGACATGAGGCCAAAGGGGGAAACTTCGTTAATTATCAAGATGCTATCAGTTGGCCCTTTTTTCGTGCTTTTTTTTTTACATTTTACATCGAAGAAAAGACGACGAGCGCACCAAGTATACACACATACACGAGGGAAAAGTCTATCCACTTTAAATTATCTCTTTTAGATATGGTCTTGACGAGCCCACAAAGAAGGTGGTGTGGAACGGGAGAAAAATAAAGGACACGCGCACGAGGGTTTCGTCGCGAGACAAGATCAAAAAGAACCGGCTTGAAGCGAATGTACACAACTTTGAAGGGATGTACCACCATCTTTTTATCGAGCGATTTAGTGCTTTTTTCCCGACCAAGCACGAATACTTTTCAGTTTTTTTTTTTTTTTTTTTTTTTTATAATTTTTTGCTAAAGTTATAATGCATTATTTATGCTACAACAATTGAATTCATAAATACTATTTATAATACCCTTCTTAACAAAATTGTTTCCATCCAGTAAAAACAACACATTACAATTTTAAAGAAAACCGTATTTAAAGGCATTTCATTACGAATACTTTAGAATAAATTTTGTTACCTAAAATGTACTGCCCGAACAAAGTTGTTTTCCTAATATTGGATTGTAAACAGCAATGGATAATGGATGGAAAAAAAAAACAAATTCAATTTATTTTGTTGTTAAAATAATTATTCCCTAGATGGTAGAATGTACAGTGAGTATAGTTGGGAATTCGATTGATTCGCGAAATCAATTGCGACGTGACGTGCACGTGGAAGCCGGTTTATTTTTTCTTAATTGCAATATAATGCGTGCGTGCGCGATCACAGTGCCCAGTGTAGTGATGAAATCAATTGGTCGTGGATGGGCGTAAGAGCCGCGGGCCATTCGAGTCCCTCGAAGAGCACACGTATCCGACAGGCTTGTACGGGCCAATTTTATATACTTCGATTGGATTATGCATCAATTTGCTTTTATATTAGAATTTTGGGCATTTAGGTGCTGGTGTGCGCAAAGGAAAGTGTCTGGCTCTGATGAAACGTAGAGTGGCTATTTCGAGGCAATTTGGGCTTCCTCTCTGGTTCCTGCACACATGAGCTTTGAATTGTGGGTGCGTGTATTCTATGCATTTAAATCATGTGGACAATGATTTTTAACAGTCGAACGATTGGAGTCTCACACATTTTTTTTGCTGCTGGCAGGATGGCTGGAGATTATTTAAATATGAAAAATAAATTATAATTTGTAAAAATAAATGGTTATGAATTAAATGATGATTCGTTGGATAAATTGCATATTTGATTAGTCGACTGGTACATTAAACAAAATACTTAAAAAGCTTTTTTTTTACTTAAGTAATGTACTCAATAATATTTATAATTAAAATTCAAATAATTTACAATATTGTTATTAAGGCACGAATTTCAGTATGGATACTTTGTCAAATAGTTGTGTTAAAATTTTTTTCTTAGAATGTAACTCTCAACAATATAATATTTTCCAGCACAAAAAAAACAATATTTAAAAATGGAAAATATTGAAAAGAAATAAAATGTTTGAAAAGAGGTTTAAGCGTTTGTTTAAATATTTTGTATTGAACTGTAATTTCTAGAGATTTATCAAACTGTTTTTTTTTTCATTTTCAGTATTTTATCATACGTAAAAGTGAAAAACGAAACAATTTTGCTGTGATAATACATTTTATGTAGTTAAAAATACACTATTAATGAAAACTTCGTCAAACATTAATATAAAAAATATTAAATCATACAAAAATACCAATACCATGTGCAATTAACTAACAGTTTTCTATTCACACTCAAAATTGCCAAGAACGCTTCCTCAGTTAAAATTAAAATATTGGATGGATTTTTTTTAATATCATTTACATTGGTCCCGCTAAATAAATTTAAAAAAAAAAAGGCTAGTACTTTAATTTTCAAATACATAGGAAATGACTAAAACCTTCGTTTCCAAGAATGAAAACATTTTCTTTCAATTGTCATCAGCATTTATAAGCGACGAAAAGCACAGAAAAACAATCCTGAAGTACGACAAACTTACGACAATCGCTGAATTTCCCGTGATGATATTTCCTTAAATTACAAAGAAAGAAAAACACCGTCAAAAATACAAGCCTCCTCTGCGAAAGAGACCCCAAGCGTGCCACAGCTGGGCACTAGCTTTTCTCGCGATTTCACGTAGGATCCTATCATAAACTCGTGCACCCACCCCCAAACTCCCCTTCTATCCACGCATGTATACGTATCCAACTCCTTCGCCCTAGAAAAAGAGCGTACGTGCTCGCGCGATACCGTATTTACGGATGCTTGTACACCATGTACACGCATACACACACGAGACTTCCAAGAACCGGAAGTTACCCCAGTGACTGTAGCAGAGAAGCAAAAAAAAAAAGGAGAAAACGTCACGTGCTCCCGTAAACTCCGACGGGGCAGCAGCACACGGATTTTCCAGACCCGCCAGCAGCTTACCTCCCCTCCCCGACCCCCTTTTTACACTGTAAATACACGTGGACCCTCTTTCCGCTTCTGCACATATGCGACTCTTTTCTCCTCTTTGCAGCAAACTAGGTCCTCCCTCTTTTTTTTTTTTCCACTACAAAAGGTGAGTTATCGCGCTGCGAGCTGAATTTTGATTTATACCCGCGTACGCGCACAGAAGGGGATGCCGATGAGCTTTCTTTTTTCCGATGATTCCATTTTACGCCCCGGCGAGGGGGGTGTTTGTCGTAATATTCGAGCAAACACAAGTATACCACGGCGGCTAAGCCGCGAATATTGTGGCCGTGGATCCTTGTCGTGGGTAAAGCTCCGGAGGGGTACGCGCGAAATTGCCACAGGAGGAGCCTTATCGGCCTTATGAAGGCGGTAACTTTGCATTTTTGTGGGCTGTGGTGTGACCGGGGGTGATGACGGGCAGTTTTAGTTTTTAATTTTCTCGCGTATCTGCTTGTGGATGCGATCTGGGTTGAAACGACGCGTTTGAGACGAATATTTTGAAATTTGCACGATATTTTACGACTCGGTGGAAATGGTTAAATACATTTTGAAAAAAATCTAGTATTTTGAAACATGGTGATAGTTTCTTACATGAGGAATATTTTCTTGTTTGGAAATAAGAAACTATCATCCTGTTTCAAGAGTTTGTTTACCTGTAACTACTCTAGTACGTAATTTTTTTATTCATAACAATTTGTACGTAGATTGGACGATTATTTACAAAATTTAAAAATATACATTTTTTTCAGAATTTTAAAGATACGTTTTGAAATTATATTTAAAAGTATGACTATCAATTAGTGCCATTAATTGATGATAATGTGTACACTCATGCTATTCATATTTAATCCATAGAGACCCTTAAACGCATGTATTTATTAATACGTAAATGTAAAAAATTATTTTTATCATATTCATTTTATGTATTTAAATAAATTCGTGGATATGAACGTTTTGTAGACATTGTATTAAAATTTTAGTCTCGAAAATTGTAATTTATAAATTATCTAAATTACATATTAAATGGATAGTATAATAATACTTTATAACTTACGTAACTTTGATGTAATTCAGATTTAAAAAATAATTATTTCTTGTGTCTCTCTGGATACAGTCGCCATTTAAAAAACAAGACTGGCTTTGTTGCGGTTGTTTCTGCTCTTATAATATGACGTGAATAACTGCGTGCAAATTCTAACAAAGGGATACATCAGAATATACCTATAAAACCTGTACAAAGTGAATAACGAGGTCATAATTGAAGGAAAATCCCATTGAAGGGAGAAACAATGCGATGTGAATTTTTTCCTCCAGCCTTTGACCACCACTCGACTTTATTATTCCTCGTGGAATACGTAATAAATTCTAAAAAAAAAAAAAAAAAAAAAAAATTGCAAACAGACAAGTTTGAATATCGCAAAGTAATTGGCTTTCCCGTCCGCCCTTTGATCCCTTGCGCAACCCTTAAAATCAACAACGGCTATAAAGTACATTAAAGACAAGAGGGAATCTTTTTCGTGGTCAATATGCGTAATGGAGCAATGTCGTGACTGCGGATAATTAATGTGTCTCCTTCCCCGTTCGTTCGTCGATAAAACCCCGCTGTGGAGTAAAAAAAACACACCCCCATTTATACAAAACGCGGAATAATTGTGGAAACGTCGGGGTGCAAGAAAAATTATATCGCCGGCTCGACGCGCCGGTCTAAACTTGCCGCGGAGAGCTGCATTAGAGATTTCGTTAAAAGCCGCGGATGATTGATGCTCGCAGAGCGGGTGAACTTTTGCCC